GCGTTTATTACAACCCAGTTAATCCATCACATTTCTGCTAATTTACTGTGAATAATAAAGATTTTCCCAATTTTTCACAATTTGTTTCGGGTAGGTTGTCAATATGTGTCATTATGTGTCGAAAACACACAGAGCTACTTATTTTGAGAATTTATTTATCGCTACAAGTTCATTATAACCACCATATTGTGATAATTTTAGTTTCTGTTCTTAGTAAGTCTCTGACTGTATACTTCTCGAGGTTTTATATGTATGTAAATTAGGAATACGTTTAAAAGATTAATATACAACGAAACAACTTAAAGGTTGCCGAAAAATACAGCCATCAACTGTCTTCTGATATTTGGACTACGAGGGATCTTATCGGTTAACTGGCACGTAGTCTTCCTGTGGTGGTGATTATAGTCCAACATGACTTGATGCCACACTACAAGAGCATAGGCAAGTATCCAAGATGATAAAACTGCATGTACTAATTATGATTAAGTGCATGAAACTGACTTCCAATGTTTCAAGAATTTTACTACACTAAACGAAGACTAACACAAGTTCGGTAAATGTATTTCAATACTTCAAGTGCGTAATACATCTCTATTTCGTCAAGCCATATGCTTCAAGTGTGGTATAGTGGGACATATTGTGTCGGTTTGTAAAACCATCATTTTTCTCATTGCTGCTTATGCTAAGCTCTGTAATTATGATCTTCCAGTGATTCATTTCATATTCAAGAACGATTATTTTTGTTCTAGGGTGTGTGTTAATCTGGTACTACTGAATCCATTGTTTCATCTGGAATCTTGAAGTCGTTAAATACCGATGTCATTACTAACCATATTTCGAGCGTTACTGGTAATAACAATTTTTATTTTCTTAAGTCTATATGCATATATACTCCATATCGTCTTTATTATTTTGGAGACTGTTTTGTGAAGACACAATCGTAATTAGATTTTAATGGAAACAAACAGGTTTACAAAGGCAACTTCAGGCTCACAGGAGTATCAAAAAATCAGATTTTAAATTGCTGAGTGGATTCTGACTTACTGTGTATTTTTAGGTGGTTCGAGAAACCAAATATTATTGAGTATCAGCGCATTTATCGTCCACATTTATAGGCTCATACTTCCCGGAATTAAATCTTCATAAAGAAACACACCAGTGTACACTATGGCAAAGTGCCTTCAATAATACTGTTAATTCACCTCAACGAATTTATCTCTTGACTTTTTGATGATATCATTAGTTGATTCAAATGTACTTAGGTAGTCGGTCTTAAGTTATTGTATGTTTAAAATATGCCTACAATATTTTGAAGGGTACCAGATAATATTTATATTTTATTAGTTCATTGAGCTTAAAAGTGAGTAGCTTGGAAGATATGTATAAGGCTTACTATTTTACTCTCCTTAGGATATGCTGACAGGAAAAGTGTCTCAGCATATCGTTAGGTGGTTCGCCTAAACATGACATACAGTGAGTGAAAACTGTTAACCCAGTTAAGCAGATTCAAAATTTAATCATTTAGTAAATCAAGGTAGATGTGTGACACCCGAATAAGACAAAGTAGGAGGTAGCTTCAAGCTCACATACGGATGTTTTTAATTTAGTGTCAGGTTGTTGGTTAAATCTAAGCCATTCACCACTGTTTTCGGTAGATTTTCGTTCTCACAGCTGGATAGTTAGGTTATGGAGCTTGCATTGATCTTCTGAACAACATCCTCAATACAAGATTGGGGTGGAAGTGAAGTTTTTAAAAGTGGCCATGTATGACCCACATTTTGTCTTGTTGTATTCATTACTGACTAGTTACTATTGATATTTAACATACCACCATATGTCTTTTTATTTTAGTTGTGTTTCACATTGGTCTGGTACTTCGTCCTATACTTTTATATGAATGTTTTGATTGATTGATAAACTGGGTCGATTTTGATGTGTTTGTAAACTGTTGATTATACTGAGTGCCAAGCTTTTGAAAACTCTCTCTTGTTTTTAATATACCATCTACTCAGGATTTCAACATAAGGAAGCCATGTCCACGAATCGGTTCGACTTCTACTTACATTGTGTTTGCTAAACGTATCTATATTCTATTTACAAGTGTGTAATCGAACATGCCATATTCAGTGTTATTCACAAACGACCCTGCTTTTTCATTGTGGAAGGTTTGCATGTCATTGGATAGGTTGCTGAAAAGTCATCATATGCAATCAGATTTTCGCGTCATGTGAATAATTATTTATTGTGTGGAAATCATCGATAAACCAACAGTCAATGTAAATCACATTAAAGTTGCATGAAAATCCTTGATCACTAATTGCATAGTGATAATATGCAACAATTATATGCCAAATTGTTTTCCTGTCTGCTCATCAAGGTTTTCAATTTTGTCTTTTATAAACAAAATTTCTCAATATACTTACCACGAATAACGTTTCTATTATCTTTCAAAAGCAACTGTTTTAACCAATATATTGGACAATAATTGGGTGGCTTTCAATCTTGTAATGCGTTTTCGCGTTTATTACAACCCAGTTAATCCATCACATTTCTGCTAATTTACTGTGAATAATAAAGATTTTCCCAATTTTTCACAATTTGTTTCGGGTAGGTTGTCAATATGTGTCATTATGTGTCGAAAACACACAGAGCTACTTATTTTGAGAATTTATTTATCGCTACAAGTTCATTATAACCACCATATTGTGATAATTTTAGTTTCTGTTCTTAGTAAGTCTCTGACTGTATACTTCTCGAGGTTTTATATGTATGTAAATTAGGAATACGTTTAAAAGATTAATATACAACGAAACAACTTAAAGGTTGCCGAAAAATACAGCCATCAACTGTCTTCTGATATTTGGACTACGAGGGATCTTATCGGTTAACTGGCACGTAGTCTTCCTGTGGTGGTGATTATAGTCCAACATGACTTGATGCCACACTACAAGAGCATAGGCAAGTATCCAAGATGATAAAACTGCATGTACTAATTATGATTAAGTGCATGAAACTGACTTCCAATGTTTCAAGAATTTTACTACACTAAACGAAGACTAACACAAGTTCGGTAAATGTATTTCAATACTTCAAGTGCGTAATACATCTCTATTTCGTCAAGCCATATGCTTCAAGTGTGGTATAGTGGGACATATTGTGTCGGTTTGTAAAACCATCATTTTTCTCATTGCTGCTTATGCTAAGCTCTGTAATTATGATCTTCCAGTGATTCATTTCATATTCAAGAACGATTATTTTTGTTCTAGGGTGTGTGTTAATCTGGTACTACTGAATCCATTGTTTCATCTGGAATCTTGAAGTCGTTAAATACCGATGTCATTACTAACCATATTTCGAGCGTTACTGGTAATAACAATTTTTATTTTCTTAAGTCTATATGCATATATACTCCATATCGTCTTTATTATTTTGGAGACTGTTTTGTGAAGACACAATCGTAATTAGATTTTAATGGAAACAAACAGGTTTACAAAGGCAACTTCAGGCTCACAGGAGTATCAAAAAATCAGATTTTAAATTGCTGAGTGGATTCTGACTTACTGTGTATTTTTAGGTGGTTCGAGAAACCAAATATTATTGAGTATCAGCGCATTTATCGTCCACATTTATAGGCTCATACTTCCCGGAATTAAATCTTCATAAAGAAACACACCAGTGTACACTATGGCAAAGTGCCTTCAATAATACTGTTAATTCACCTCAACGAATTTATCTCTTGACTTTTTGATGATATCATTAGTTGATTCAAATGTACTTAGGTAGTCGGTCTTAAGTTATTGTATGTTTAAAATATGCCTACAATATTTTGAAGGGTACCAGATAATATTTATATTTTATTAGTTCATTGAGCTTAAAAGTGAGTAGCTTGGAAGATATGTATAAGGCTTACTATTTTACTCTCCTTAGGATATGCTGACAGGAAAAGTGTCTCAGCATATCGTTAGGTGGTTCGCCTAAACATGACATACAGTGAGTGAAAACTGTTAACCCAGTTAAGCAGATTCAAAATTTAATCATTTAGTAAATCAAGGTAGATGTGTGACACCCGAATAAGACAAAGTAGGAGGTAGCTTCAAGCTCACATACGGATGTTTTTAATTTAGTGTCAGGTTGTTGGTTAAATCTAAGCCATTCACCACTGTTTTCGGTAGATTTTCGTTCTCACAGCTGGATAGTTAGGTTATGGAGCTTGCATTGATCTTCTGAACAACATCCTCAATACAAGATTGGGGTGGAAGTGAAGTTTTTAAAAGTGGCCATGTATGACCCACATTTTGTCTTGTTGTATTCATTACTGACTAGTTACTATTGATATTTAACATACCACCATATGTCTTTTTATTTTAGTTGTGTTTCACATTGGTCTGGTACTTCGTCCTATACTTTTATATGAATGTTTTGATTGATTGATAAACTGGGTCGATTTTGATGTGTTTGTAAACTGTTGATTATACTGAGTGCCAAGCTTTTGAAAACTCTCTCTTGTTTTTAATATACCATCTACTCAGGATTTCAACATAAGGAAGCCATGTCCACGAATCGGTTCGACTTCTACTTACATTGTGTTTGCTAAACGTATCTATATTCTATTTACAAGTGTGTAATCGAACATGCCATATTCAGTGTTATTCACAAACGACCCTGCTTTTTCATTGTGGAAGGTTTGCATGTCATTGGATAGGTTGCTGAAAAGTCATCATATGCAATCAGATTTTCGCGTCATGTGAATAATTATTTATTGTGTGGAAATCATCGATAAACCAACAGTCAATGTAAATCACATTAAAGTTGCATGAAAATCCTTGATCACTAATTGCATAGTGATAATATGCAACAATTATATGCCAAATTGTTTTCCTGTCTGCTCATCAAGGTTTTCAATTTTGTCTTTTATAAACAAAATTTCTCAATATACTTACCACGAATAACGTTTCTATTATCTTTCAAAAGCAACTGTTTTAACCAATATATTGGACAATAATTGGGTGGCTTTCAATCTTGTAATGCGTTTTCGCGTTTATTACAACCCAGTTAATCCATCACATTTCTGCTAATTTACTGTGAATAATAAAGATTTTCCCAATTTTTCACAATTTGTTTCGGGTAGGTTGTCAATATGTTACTTTTTTCTTTAAATCATATGCATAAAAACGTTTCTAATAAGACGTAGGTTAATCACTTTTGCACGTTAACAAGAAAAAGGATCAGTTTGCTATTAATTGTGTCTCACAACGTGAAAACACGTTTATGTTGAACGAACACTCTCACGTTCGGTATGTTTGGTATGTTCTATGATCTATTTATTTGTACCTTGTATAAGTATTGAAGAAGTCTGATAAAGGTCAGTAGTAACTATGATACCACTCGGACTTAACACATGATAGAAAGTGTTTTCGCAAAACATGAGGCTAGTTTCTGTGTTGTGCACAACAGGGTTGTTTGTTTCCGTAAATATGCTTTCTGTTGCTATAAATTGGATGTGACGATGGTTAATCTGGATTGTTCGAGTCAAACAGCTGGATTTAGCATTCAGAGACAAAACTCTCAGGAAGGGATCTCGCGAGGAGTTATTTGGGAAACTAGGTCTTTCAGAACTTGATTAAAAACAAAATTGATATATTGTAATTATGTACCGGCGTTAGTTCAGATTCTTATGCTCATGAAGTCTAAACGTGGAGACAGTGAGTTGTTCAAAGGAGCATGGTAGCATATGTGCGGCTTCTCGGATCCTCAGACTTCGTCTATTTTATTCAAAAACTATCACAATCCGATGTCTGGATGTTTCTTAAGCAGTTTTGTTAAATCTTTATCGCAAATGAACTGTGCTGGTTATTATAAACAAATAGTGTTTTTAACAGGGCATTAAGATATTCAGTAGTACGGTTAGTTCTAATCCATACTGTTTGAGCACCAGATTTGTAACCGAGATGTATTATGTCAGTTTTTGACAAAAAATAACTTTTTTCACTTTTTTAAAGTTACCTGAAATTGATCGACATTGTTTTTTGTTAAGTCTCGATGAACAAATACCAATGATCAGTCTTTGAGATATTCATATTATCTGTTTATTACAATACACACAATTTAAGAATCCCTTTGTATTAATTACTTTTTATTTTTTAACATACATCTGGATGCCTTTTTCGGAAATTTACTTTGATAGAGTGACTAAATGTAAACACTATACCTGACAATTTGTTTACTACTGATGGAAAAGTGGTTGAACGTTTTCAGGATATAAAATAGGTGCTTGTCTGCTCATACAGAACAGAATTCATCAAGTTTTGAACACTTAAAAATGAATTCACTCAAAAATACCCAAACAGACACTCATAAATGGCTACACTATTCTAGCACGTAAACGCTTGGTATGAAGGTAAATAATTAGCCATATGGTTTTAATTAAACTGCATAAAGTCAGACTCATAATTGCTTCTTGAAAACAAATAGATTTGTCTGTAAAACAAAATCAACAAATTGTATTAAATAATCGCGGCCATAACTTTAGGTCCCAAAAGTAAAAAGCACATCAAAAAACACTTCGGTCAACAATGACTGTCTCATTGGACTTAGTCGCTTAACATTGATTTGGAATTCGCGAAACTAGAAGAGTAGATAATTGTGATACTTAAGATCCTGAAATGATTAGCTCTTTATTTGAGTGATGAAACACTGTATACAAAGATAGTAATGAAGTGAAGAAATTGAAATACTCTTCAATATTTGATGGTAGAACCACTGAAGTCTGAATATTAGTACTGCATTTTGTTTGCTTTTTTACACAATTTTGTAGGGATAAGTACAATACGATTATGTGGGTACTTTGATTGCTCTTAAAAGTAAAACTTTTTCCATTGGTAAATCTCAGGTTTCTCTGCAACTGACAAGAGTTTAATTTAGAAACATTCACAACATTTAAAAGTTTTAGCCTGTAGGTAAACAGATAATGATGGTTTGTTAAGATGTACCATAGTTATTTCAAAACCGAAGGACTTGTGAGTATTAAGTAATACCGTTTTTAGTCCTATTTTTTGTTTATTAATGAGCACTATCTAAAACCTTCTGTGCGCGTTCTGTAATAAAATATTTTTGGGTTGCACCGAAAATTGTTGAGGTATATACTTCATGTTCTTAACCTAGATAAACAAGGACTTACTTACCAAACTTGCGTATTCACAATAAATAACGAGGTGAATTCTTTTAGTATATGGTAAATCTAATGCGGTTTACAAATATAATTAAGTAAAATATTGTTTTATATCGTCATTACACTTATCTTGAGTTTTATTAAACGATTATGTGTGCATCACACGGTTTTTATGATACGAATCCATTAACCTGGTATTTATTTTCAATGTTCTTCTTCAACGGCGCGCTTTTTCCCGAAATACTGTTTGACGGTTCATTTTTGTTACTTCATGTGCTAACCACGAATCAGTGTATTCTGAAATCGATAACAGCTCAAACGTTTTTAATGGAGTTTTACAAAAGGAGAGCTAACACTAAAATGTTTGCATCATCTGAAATGATGTGGTTCATAAACTATTTTGTCTGAATATGTGATCAATTTGTTTGTAGTGTAAATCACAAAATGAAAAAGCAAAAAAGAGTTTAAAAAAGCATCATTTGTAGGTGCAGTATCAGTAAACAAAATATGCAACATGATATTCGTATATCTCTTAAATATAGGACTGTTAATAATGGGAAAAATGATTGTATGATGAAATGAACCAATCGCACTAGTCAGGTGATACAACTAAACATTTATGCATCTTATAGTGACAGATACTACATTTTGGCACATTAAACGGTCTAATCGCTAGGCAGTTCAGTTAGGATCCTTACATAATTTTCGCATTCAAAAACAAATGACGGTCATTGTTACTGTTTTAAGCTGCGATGACTTGACAGATATACAATGCATTCAGTTTTTTAAAACGACTTGAGTTTATTTAAATACTAATGAAAATGGTGATGACGTTCAACGAAATTACTAGATCATGTCCAATAATGCAATAAGTTCTTCAACGGGTTATTTACAGAAATCCATTAAGCTTTTAAATAAAATCAAGGCACAAACCGATTTCGGGCATCCAGTACGTTTTTGATCAGAAAACTGCAACCTGAATATTACGAGAAAAAAATCATCAATTTAATGTTTAACAATTTTGGTTTGCTTGTAACACATATATTGCGATTTATACCAAAAAAACAGGAACAAATAACTAAGTAATGGACTTAGTAAGTCCAGGATACCCATTCACTTTTTTATAGCAACTTAATTTGTAGTGGAAAGTTTCTACATAACCTACAGTTTTGTACAGATTAGTATAATAATGAACTAATATGTAAGTAGGCTAAAGTTTGTGAATAATCAAGTATAATATAATAAACGTTTTTTGTTGTAAAAGTATAAATTATTAGTATCAAAGAAGGTTTTATCAGTAATCTTAGAAATGATAGTGTCTTAACTTTTAGTACTCCTATGATTTCACCGATGGATGGCGACATGGTAATCTGTGTTACCATTTTTTAGACAATTGTGGGAGAAAGTAAATTTTTAGTGTATCGTATGAATGATATACGTGATGAGAAGTCAAGCTTTCGAAACACTGTTTTTTATGACACCATATATAACGACACAATAGTTTTGTATGAAAAAGTTTATTTTAACTGTTAGTGACGGTAACGAAATAGTGTTACAAGGTACCTCTGATCTTGTAGTATCTAGGCAACTTAAACATGTTGAGAGCTTTTGATATTCTATGATGTAGCAATGCATTTAGGTATCATGGGCCTTGTTAAGTGAAGCTTCATTTAAAAATTTAGAATGACATGGTGTGGATCACTAGTTTTTATGAATCTATACCGTGAATTGATATTAAGTTTTCCAGTATATAGCTGATGAGATGTTGTATCATTTAATACTTTCCATAGCTTTGGGATTAACTACTATGGCGTCAATATACCTGCAGTCGTGTACGTTTGTCGTGTTTATGGATTTGAAACGTAGACGTTCATATGTAGTTTTTCAGCACTTAAAATAAATGTCTGTTTTTTACGCACACGTTAGTGGTGATAGTTAAATATCACGCTAAAAGATTCTAATATAGATGAATAAAACCCGGTCTACACTGGTATTTTTTGAAAATCTAAGAATGTTTGTGGTTTTAATAGCTCGACAACATGCAAAAAACGATGTTAGTTTAGTGTAAGGTTTTAACTCTTCTGTTGTCTAACGGCTTGATGTTATTTCCCGGAGTTTCACTGAAGTGGTAACAATAGTTTTATAGTTATGTATAATTAGATTATTATGCAAACGGAATGTACATGTTAGGGTTATTCTAATGGTTAATCAAATAAAATTATTAGGTTTTGCATTTTTTAATTACTGATTATTGTTCAAAAATCTACTTTAATAACTGTTAATCTATTTATCTTTGTAAATCTTTCAAGAAAATATATATTTCCGGACAACTCATAATATCTTGCTACTATGAATAACTTTAATTGTTCTGTAGATTTTTGTAAGTCTAACTGGATCTAAACAAGTACTTTTGATTTTTCTTTACAAAACATCTAATGCATTTATAAAACTAATAATCATGATCAAATAACTTCAATGTTGTATTCATATTCAAAACTATTTAAGTTCAGATATCTACATGAAGATTATTAAAATTGATTTCAAGTAATTTACGTTCCTTATTGTTATTTGATTTTGTCTTCTCTGATCACCGTTTTTTCTAAATTTTTACCATTCACTACTGTGTTAGTTCATTTCATCTACTTATTTATTATTTATAGTTTTATTAATGTGCTCTTTACGAACTAACTCAGTTGAAATAAAAAGTATAACATCATTATATTTGTTATTACTTGTGACATTGTACCCAATTAATATATTACGTAATGATATGACCAATTTAGAGAACAGTGAATTATCGACCGAACGAATAACACAAAGAACCTGTACGAGAAGTCTAGAGTTTTTATCGGTCCTGCTTGCTGACTAACCCTGCCTATTGAGTCTAGGACACCAATCTTAGCCTTTGTGATATGAAACATATATTTCAATCATACTGGGTTTACATACAAACCAA